GTTTGAGACCAGCCTGGCCAACATGGTGAAACACTGTCTCTAGTAAAAATACAAAAATTAGCTAGCTGAGTGTGGTGGCACATGCTGGTAATCCCAGCTACTTGGAAGGCTGACGTAGGAGAATCGCTTGAACCTGGGAGGCAGAGGTTGCAGTGAGCTGAGATTGTGCCATTGTGCTCCAGCCTGGGCCACAAGAGGAAAACTCTATGTCAATAAATAAATAAATAAATAGATAGATAGATAAATAGGCTGGTTGCAGTGACTCACACCTGTAATCCCAGTACTTTGGGAGGCTGAGGCAGGCAGATCACAGGTCGGGAGTTTGAGACCAGTTTGTCCAACTTGGTGAAACCCTGTCTCTACTAAAAATGCAAAAATTAGCCAGACATGGTGGCAGGCGTCTGCAGTCCCAGCTACTCAGGAGGTTGAGGCAGAAGAATTGTCTGAACCTGGGAGGCAGACGTTGCAGTGAGCTGAAATCACACCACTGCACTCCAGCCTGGGCAACAGAGGGAGACTCAGTCTCACACACAAAAAAGTACATGTATACATGTGAATTCATATGTGTGTATGTGTATATATAAAAACATACAAGTGGAGCGAGAAGGACATCTTTTTTAAAGAAACAGATTTATTGATGTATAGTTCACATATACAATTCACCCATTTGCAGCACACAATTCACTGGCATTCAGTAGATTCATAGTATTGTGCAAGCTTCACCACAATCAACTTTAGAATAGTCTCATTACCTCAAAAAGAAGCTCTGTCTGCCTTAACCCTCATCCCTCAACATCCCCACCGTCTCCTTCCTCACCACTCCCAGCCCCTGGCAACCACTAATTTACTTTCTGTCTCTCTGTATTTGCCCATTCTGGACATTTCATGTAAATGGATTCATGCAATAGATGGTCTTTTGTGATTGGCTACTTGCACTCAGCACAAAGTTTTCAAAGTTGATCCATGTTGTAGCATGAATCAGTACCTTGTTCCTTTTTAAGGCTGTATAATATTCCATTTCATGCCTGTACCACCATTGATTCATTCACTCATTCATTGATGGACATTTGGGTTGTTTCCCCTTTTCCTATTATGAATAATGTTGCTATAAATATTTGTATATAGGCTGGGTGTGGTGGCTCACTTTTGTAATACCAGCACTTTGGGAGGCCAAGGAGGGCAGATCACGAGGTCAGGAGTTTGAGACCAGCCTGGCCAACATGGTTAAACCCCGTCTCTACTAAAAACACTAAAAATTAGCTGGATGTAGTGGCGGGTGCCTGTAATTCCAGATACTTAGGAGGCTGAGGCAGTAGAATCGCTTGAACCTGGGAGGAGGAGGTTGCAGTGAGCTGAGATCATGCCACAGCACCCCAGCCCTGATGACAGAGTGAGACTCCATCTCAAAAAAAATTGTATATGATTTTTTTGTGTGGACTTATATTTTCAGTTCTTTTGGGTACATACGAGTGGAATTGCTGGATCATATGGTAAGTCTATGTTTAATTGTTTGAAGAACTGCCAAACCATTTTCCAAAGTGGGTTGTACTGTATTACATACACATGGCAGGGCTTGGGGGTTTGAGTTTCTCCACATCCTCACCAACACTTGTTATTGTGCTTTTAAAAGTTATTATAGTCCTCCTAGCAGGTGTGAAGTGGTGTTTCATTGTGGTTTTGATTTGCATTTCTCTAATGACTAATGATGTTGAACAGAGTTTCATTTGCTTTTTTGTACTGGTATATTTTCCTTGGAGACATGTCTGTTCAGGTCCTCTGCCCGTTTTAAAACTGGGTCATCTTTTTATTGTTGATTCCTAACAGCTGTTTAGATATTCTAGATGAAAGTCCCCCATTTTATACACACACACATGCACACATATGTATGTATGTATAATTTGCAAAAATTTTCTCCCATTCTCAGGGTTACCTTTTCACTTTCTTGCTTGTATTCTTTGAAACACAAAAGTTTTAAATTTTGATGATATCCAGTTTATTTTTTTATTTTATTGTTTGTGCTTTTGGTGCCATAAGTAAACAACCATTGCTTAATCCAAGTTCATAAAGATTTATTCTTATGTTTTCTTCTGAGTGTTTTATAGTTTTTTAAAAATGCTTTTTAAAAATTATTATTTTATTTATTTTTTTGAGATGGAGTTTCACTCTTGTCACCCATGCTGGAGTGCAATGGCGCCATCTTGGCTTCTGCAACCTCCTCCTCCTGCATTGAAGTGATTCTTCTGCTTAAGCCTCCCTAGTAGCTGGGATTACAGATGCATGCCACTACGCACAGCTAATTTTCTTGTATTTTTAGTAGAGATGGGGTTTCACCATGTTGGCTAGGCAGGTCTCAAACTCCTGACCTCCGGTGATCCACCTATCTTGGCCTCCCAAGGTGCTGAGATTACAGGCATGAGCCACCACGCCCGGCCCCAGCTTCATTCTTTTGCATGTGTATATCCAATTGTCCTGGCATCATTTGTTGAAGAGATTATTCTTTCCTCGTTAGATTGTCTTGACATCTTTGCAAAAAATTGGTTGATTATAAACGTGAAGGTTTATTTCTGGATGCTCGATTCTTTTCCACTGAGCTATATGTCTACACTTAAGCCAGTACCACACTGTTTTGATTACTGTAGCCTGACATGATATCTATATATTTATAGATATGATACATATTTATATACACACTACCTATATTTATAAAAGTATATTATATAGAAACATCCTATATTTGCATTGTGTATAGAAAGATATATGTACATTCTATATAAATTGTATTATATTTTCTTTTATTGTTGAATAGCCTGATGTTGCTATATACATTTGTATACAGTTTTTTTGTGTGGACTTGTTTTCATTTCTCTTGGGTATAGATGTAGAAGTGGAATTGCTGGGTTGTATGGTAACTCTATGTTTAACTGTTTGAAGAACTGCCGAACTGTTTTCCAAAGGGGTTGTACCATATTACACGCACATGATAGGATTTGGAGGTTTCAGTTTCTCCACATCCTCACCAACACTTGCTAATTTGTCTTTTTTTTTTTTTTTTTGAGACAGAGTTTCGCTCTTGTCGCCTATGCTGGAGTGCAGTGGTATGATCTCAGCTCAAAGAAACCTCCGATTCCTGGGTTCAAGCGATTCTTCTGCCTCAGTTGCCCGAGTAGCTGGGATTACAGGTGCACACCACCACACCCAGCTATTTTTTGTATTTTCAGTAGAGATGGGGTTTCACCATGTTGGCCAGGCTGGTCTTGAACTCCTGACCTCAGGTGATCTGCCCACCTTGGCCTCCCAAAGTGCTGGGATTACAGGCATTAGCCGCCACCCCTGGCCTGCTATTATGTCTTTTAAAAGAAATCAGGAAATATCAGTTTTCCAATTTTGCTCTTTTTCAAGATTGCTTTTGGTTATGTTGGACCTGTTTCATTTCCATATGAATTTTAGGATAAACTTGTCAATTTCTGTAAATAAGTTGGCTGGGTTGTGGATATTGTGTTGAATCTGTAGACCAGTTGGGTGATATTGCCATCTTAACAATATTAAGTCTCCTGTTCCATGAATATCAGATGCCTTTCCATTTGTTTAGGTTTTAATTTTTCAGCAGTGTTTTATAGTGTTCAGAGTATATGTTTTACACTTCTTTTTGCTAAATGTATTCCTAAGTATTTTATTCTTTCTGATATTGTAAATAGAGTTTTTTGATTTCATTTTCAGTTTGCTCATTGTTAATACTTAGAAATGCAACTGATTTTTCTGTATTGGTTTTATATCCTGCAACCTTGCTGAACTCATTGATTAGTTTTCTCTCTCTTTTTTTTTTTTTTTTTTTTTTTTTTTTTTTTTTTTTTTTTTTTTTTTTTTTTTTTTTTGAGACAGAGTTTTGCTCTTGTTGCCCAGGCTGGAGTGCAATGGCACAATCTTGGCTCACTGCAACCTCCACCTCCAGGATTCAAGTGATTCTTCTACCTCAGCCTCCTGAGTAGCTGGGATTACAGGCATGCACCACCAGGCCCAGCTAATTTTGTATTTTTAGTAGCGATGGGGTTTCTCCATGTTGGTCAGGCAGGTCTGAAACTCTTGACCTCAGGTGATCCACCCGCCTTGGCCTCCCAAGGTGCTGGGATTACAGGTGTGAGCCATCACGCCCAGCCCTACATTGATTACTTCTAATCTTTTTGTGTGTACCTGTGTGGATGCTTTAGGGTTTTCTATATATATATGATCATGTCATCTGCAAATACAAATAGTTTTACTTCTTCCTTTCCAACTGGACGGCTTTTCTTTTACTTATCTAGAACCTCCAGCACAAGGTGGAATAGACATGAAGAGTGCACATTCCTGCCTGTTCCTGATCTCAGGGGAAAACACTCGGTCTATCACCAGGGATGTGAACTGTGGCTTTTAGCAGATGACTTTACCAGGCTGAGGAAGTGCCCTTTTATTCCTAGTTTATTGCATTTTTTTTGGGAGGGGCGGGGGGACAGAGTCTCGCCTCCTGGATTCAAGCGCTTCTCGGGCTTCATCCTCCCCAGTAGCTGGGACCACAGGTGTGCGCCACAACGCCCAGCTAATTTTTGTATTTTTCGTAGAGAGGGGGTTTCGCCATGTTGGCCAGGATGGTCTCCATCTCTTGACCTCGTTATCCACCGGTCCCCGCCTCCCAAAGTGCTGGGGTTACAGGTGTGAGCCACCGAGCCCAGCCGTGAAATACCTTCATTTAAAATGTCCCCTCTGTCTCTGTTCTTTCTTCTGAGGGCAAAAACTCAAATGCAGAGCCAAAAACGTATTTGCCAATCATTGTCCAGGCCCTGCTGTGTGAGGCTCTAACAGGTGCTAGCTGGTGGAAGGATTGTTGGTAAGGACTGCAAAATCCCTGCCCCTTCTAGCGGCCAGGGCTGCCTTTCCCGTCTAGGTGACACAGCAGATAAGGAGGTCCCGCTGGGCGGGTGAGTCCCTCTACCCACCACCTCGGGCACTGACTGCCTCTCTGTCCCCAGGCCTACGAGAAGCGCTTCCCCACCTGCCCCCAGATCCCTGTCTTCCTGGGCAGCGAGGTCCTGCGCGAGTCCCGCAGCCCCGACGGGGCAGTGCATGTGGTGGAGCGGAGCTGCAGGCTGCGCGTGGACGCCCCGCGGCTGCTGCGGAAGGTGGAAAGCCCTGGGCTGGGGGTCGGAGGAGGGGACCTGTCACAGGGGTGCGGGAGGGCTGGGAGCGGAAGCTGGGGACCAGGGCGGGGGGAAGGGGGCGGTGCCAGGAGGTGGAGCGGGGTGGGGGTGAGTGGGTGTGTGACTTAATGTCCAGATGAGGGTTCCAGGGTGTGGGTGGCGGAACCTTGGTCGGGGGTCCCTGGCCCGGGGGCGAGGGCTGGGAGGCTCGGCTGGGGAGAAGCGGGGGGAGTCGGGGGTCCAGGCCGGAGATGAGTGGGCGGCAGGGCAGGAGTCCGGGGTCGGGGTCCTGGGTCCGGGCTGTCTGGGAGGTGGCGTTAGGGACTTGGGGATCAGAGCAGGGGATGACTGGGGCACGCCTGCTAGACTCGCTCTCCGTTCCTGTGTGCTCCAGGCTCCGCACCCACCTCCGCCTCCCCCCACTTCCCTTGCAGATCGCAGGTGTCGAGCACGTGGTCTTCGTGCAGACAAACATCTTGAACTGGAAGGAGAGGACACTTCTCATCGAAGCGCACAACGAGACCTTCGCCAACCGAGTGCTGGTGAACGAGCACTGCAGCTACACGGTGAGCCCAGGGCACCCTCAGCGCCCACTCCCACCACCCACCTGCGCCTGGTGCCCACCTGCACCCAGGACACCCTCAGCGCCCACTCCCGCCACCCACCTGCGCCTGGTGCCCACCTGCACCCAGGACACCCTCAGCGCCCACTCCCGCCACTCACCTGCGCCCAGTGCCCAGAGCCCACATGTGTTGGGATTACAGGCATGGCCACCGCGCCCGGCAGCACTGCCCTGTCTTTCCACACCTCCAGCTCCTCTTCAGTCCTCCAGGAGCTTGGGCTCAGGGGGTTTAGATCCTCTCAGGAGGAGTGAGTAACAGTTGTTGAAACCCCTCTTAGTGTGTTTGCTGTTTCTCAGAATGAGTTCTATCAATAGCTGAATCAGCAGCACCTGGGCTGCTTGTGAAATCCAGATTCCAGGGACCCAACCTGGAACGGCTCAGTCAGAGGTGTCTAGGGGCAGGCCCAGGAATCTGCATATTTAACAGACTCCTGGGTAACAGTCTGCCCACAGACGTATGAGAAGAACCAGGTCTGGGGCCATAAAGCAGCTCTACCAATGAAGTTTTCTTTTTGCAAACATACAAATCTATATTTATTGATATATAAGGATATTAATATATCTTTATATAGATAACATATATAATATATATTTTAAAAATCTGTATCTAAATTTTATGTATGATATTGAGATATAATTTATGTATTTATAGATTATATAAATGATACACTGAACAATTGTATTTCTTCTCTTTTCTTTTTTGGAGATGGGGTCTTTCTCTGTCACCCAGGCTGGAGTGCAGTGTATCTCTGTTCACTGCAACCTCTGCCTCCCAGCTTCAAGCGATTCTCCTGCCTCAGCTTACAAGTAGCTGCGATTACAGGCGCCCGCCACCACGCCTGGCTAAGTTTTGGATTTTTAGTAGAGACGGGGGTTTTACCATGTTGGCCAGGTGGTCTCCAACTCTTGACCTTAAGTGATCCAACCACCTTGGCGGGGATTAATCCTTTATTGGGATTACAGGCGTGAGCCGCCATGCCCAGCCTAAACACATGTATTTCTATCTAATTTTCTGTGTATGCATATAATATTTAAAGGGCAGGGCTGCAGATTTGAGAGAACCCACATTCTCCCGGCTTCTCATGAGAAGGCTCTTCGCTCCCTGACAGTTTGAACTTTGCGTCTTTCTATGGGTGGGGGCCCCTTGGTCCTGCTACCCTCTCCAGGCTTGATCTGGTGTTCACCGCAGACTCTGCCTGGGCCCAGGTCGGCAGGAAAGACCCAGGGGAGGACAGGGTACCCCCAACACTGAGTCCCCGGCTTGGCCCCTGCCTGGCTTTCAGGTTCACCCTGAGAATGAAGATTGGACTTGCTTCGAGCAGTCTGCTTCGCTGGACATCCGGTCCTTCTTTGGCTTTGAAAATGCCTTGGAGAAGATTGCCATGAAGCAGTACACTGCCAACGTCAAGAGGGTAAGGGGTGGGTTCTGTTAGTCACTGGAGGTAACTAACACAGACTTGCTCCGCTATCGACAGCTGCATGACATCCAGTAAGACTCTTACCCTCCCTGGGCCTCAGTCTTCTTATCTGTTAAGTAGGTACTCTAGTAATGACCAAATCTCATCTAGTAATGACCATGAGATAATGGATGGAAAGTAACTGGTCTGTAATGGGGGCCCCCTAATCCTAGCTCTGGCCCTGCAAGATGTCCAGGCTTATGTGGTGAATTATCTGGACACCAGATAATTCTGTGGTGTTTTAAATTTAATTTAATTTAATTTAATGTTATTTTATTTTAATTTTTTTTTTGAGATGGAGTCTTGCTCTGTTGCCCAGGCTGGAGAGCAGTGGCATGATCTCGGCTCCCTGCAACCTCCGCCTCCCAGGTTCAAGCGATTCTCCTGCTTCAGCCTCCCGAGTAGCTGGGACTACAGGAGCACACCACCATGCCTGGCTAATTTTTGTATTTTTAGTAGAGAAGGTGTTTCGCCGTGTTGGCCAGGCTGGTCTTGAACTCCAGATCTCGTGATCCACCCTCCTCAGCCTCCCAAAGTGCTGAGATTACAGGTGTGAGCCACCATGCCCAGTTTTTTATTTTATTTTATTTTAGATAAAATGATCATTGCTTGCTATAAAGACCTCAGATCCATCCCTGAGTAAAGACCTGTTCTTGTGACGAAACAGATGAAATTAACTTTAACAACATATTTTTATCCAATGTGTTATCAACATAAAACTTATTATTCTGAGGTGGGAGGATCACCTGAGCCCAGGAGTTCCAGAGAAGTCTAGGTGACATAGTGGACCCCATCTCTAAAAAAAAAAAATAAAATAATTAGCTGGGAGTGGTGGTGGGTGTCTATAGTCCCAGTGGCTCAGGAGGCTGGGGCAGGAGGATCTCATGATCTTGGGAGGTTGAGGCTACAGCAAGCTGAGATGGCACCAGTGCACCCCAGCCTTGGCGACACAGCAAGACACTGTCTCAAAAACAGTTAACAAAAACAAAAACAACTCCCAAACTGAAAAACTTATTACCCAGCTATTTTGCATTCTGTGTTTCGGACCAAGCCTTGGAAATCAGGCGGGTGTTTGACACTTACAGCCTCTCTCCCTCCCTCCCAGCCACATTCAATCACTCAATAGCCTTGTGTCGAGGCTGGGACCTGAGCGGACTGGAGGTGACTCCCTGTGGTGACCCAGTGACCTCCTTCCATCCTGCCCCATGCTCATGTGTCTTGGGTCTCTCTGGTTTCCAGGGGAAGGAGGTGATTGAGCATTACCTGAATGAGCTCATCTCCCAGGGCACCTCGCACATTCCCCGCTGGACGCCTGCACCAGTCCGTGAGGAGGATGCCCGCAACCAGGCTGGACCAAGGGACCCTGGCTCCTCGGAGGCCCAGGGGCCCAGTAGTGCTCTGGGCCCTGCTCTGGAGGCGGTCGGTATGGATGGTAGGTCATGCAGCGAAGGCCAGTTCAGCCCTAGGAGGCTGCTGCAGGCCCTCTTGCTCCATGGGGGGCCCTGGGACGGGTGGGGGAGAGTTGCCTCAGGTCCTCCTGAGAACGGGTCTGGGTCTTGGAACGATACAGCCTCCTCCCTCCACTGTCTGCGTCTCCCTCTCTCCATCATGGTCCAAGAGTAGAACCCATTTCTTTTTTCTTTTTTTTTTTTTTTGAGACGGAGTCTCACTCTGTTGCCCAGGCTGGAGTGCAGTGGCACAATCTCGGCTCACGGCAACCTCCGCCTCCTGGGTTCTAGTGATTCTTCCACCTCAGCCTTCTGAGTAGTTGGGGCCACAGGCATGTGCCACCATGCCCGGCTAATTTTTTTTTTGGTATTTTTAGTAGAGATGAGGTTTCACCATGTTGGCCAGGATGGTCTTGATCTCTTGACCTCGTGATTTGCCCACCTCAGCCTTCCAAAGTACTGGGATTACAGGTGTGAGCCACCGTGCCCAGCCGAACCCATTTATTTCTTTTCTTTTCTTTCTTTCTTTCTTGTTTTTTTTGAGGTGGAGTCCCGCTCTGTCACCCAGGCTGGAGTGTAGTGGTGTGATCTCAGCTCACTGCAATCTCCACCTTCCAGGTTCAAGCGATTCTTCTGCCTCAGCCTTATGAATAGCTGGGACTACAGGCATCTGCCATCACGCCTGGCTAATTGTTTGTATTTTTGGTAGAGTTGGGGTTTTACCACATTGGCCAGGCTGGTCTCGAACTCCCAAGCTCAAGTGATCCACCTGCCTCAGCCTCCCAAACTGCTAGGATTACAGGCATAAGCCATTGCGCCTGGCAAAACTCATTTATTTTTCGATCAGGAATTCGCCTCTGGTGCCTTGACATTGCCTCTCCCTGTTTTTACTATTTACAAACTTACCAATTATCATTAATTTACTAATTATTACATTTGCTACTACTACTTTAAATTATATGAGTAATGCATTATCATAGTAGAAAAAAATTCAAACTGCTTGGAAGATATAAGAAGTGAGATTCTTTTTTTCTCCCTAGAGGCTAACAATAGTTTTGTGTTTCTATGTTTAGGCATAGAAGCTGTTTAGGCATATATATGCACATAATATGTATATATATCCACAAACATATGTGTGTACATGCATACATATATGTATGTCCTATGTTGAATACATGATAACACATACATTCCATCTGATATTTTTCTTTTTTTCCACTTTCAAATGTTGCCTGACAAAATTCCTGAATCAGTGGTTAAGTCTTCTTTTCATACTTCATAATATGGTGTGGTTGCACCACAGCTTACTTATTAATAATTATTTTTATTTATTTAGAGATAGGGTCTTGCTTTGTTGCCCAGGCTGGAGTGCAGCGGTGCAATTGTGTCTCGCCAAAACCTTGAAATCCTGGGCTCAAATGATCCTTCTGCCCCAGCTTCCTGAGTAGCTGGGACCGCTATGTCTAGATAATTTATTTTTATTTTTATTTAATTATTATTATTATTTTTTGAGACACAGTCTCACTCTGTTACCCAGGCTGGAGTGCAATGGCACAATCTCAGCTCACTGCAAGCTCTGCTTCCCAGGTTCAAGCGATTCTTCTGTCTCAGCCTCCCAAGTAGCTGGGATTACAGGCATGTGCCACCATTTCCAGCTAATTTTTGTATCATTAGTAGGGACAGGGTTTCACCATGTTGACCAGGCTGGTCTCAAACTCCTGACCTCAGGTGATCCACCCGCCTTGGCCTCCCACACTGCTGGGAGTACCGGTGTGAGCCACTGGGCCCAGCCTAGTTTTATTTTTTATATAAATGGTATCTTGCTATGTTGCCCAGGCTGGTCTTGAACTCCTTCCTCAAGTGATCCTCTTGCCTTGGCCTTCCGAGATACTGGGATTGCAAGTGTGAGCCACTGCACCTGGCCTTGATTATTTTGAATTAGTCTATTTCACTAGTTTGCTGTTGAAGGAAACAACCCTATTTAGGTTGTTTCAGTTGTTTAAAATACAACTAATATGGTACCTGTGGGTACTTAAGAATTAAAAAAAATGTATGTGGGTATATATAAAGCATAACATTACAAGAGTGGAATTGCTGGTTCAAAGTTTACGTGCAAGTAAAATTGGGGTAGGCTTACCCATTAGACTTCCAAAGAGGTTGTACTAATCACTGTTCCCACTGAAAGTGTGTAACGGCATCTATTCCTGACTTCACCCCAGCTCCCCACAAAACTCTTAGTAAACATTTCAAACTTCTGAAAGGCAACAAAAGTGATCCTGGCCAATTAGTGACCACTTCTTTCATTATGAGTGAGATCACGCGTTGATTTTGCATGTTTAGGGACCCTTTTCCTTTTTTTTTTTTTTTTTTAGTAGCGAATACTTGTTCTTGTCCTTTGTCCATTTTTTATTTGCCCATTGCTTTCTTATTGGTTTGTAAGAGCTCGTTGTATATTAAGGCAGCCTGCCCTTTGTCACCATTCAGGCTTTTATGGACATGGAAAAAGTTCACAATGTAATGTTAAAAGGAAAATCCTAGGAAACAAACTGTATGTACACCACAAATCCAGTTCTAGGCATGCATAAGACATGCACTCATGTTGATAACGTTTTTCCTTTAAGAAAAACATTTAGAAATGTTTTTAGAGCCATTGTCGTGTGGGGACATCGCTGACTCTGACAGACTTGGGTGGCAGTGCCATGTAACTAATAATACATCTGGGGCTCTGTTCAGGGAGAATGAGGTTTGTTCATGCAACACATATTTATTCTTTTTTTTCTGTCATCCCGGCTGGAGTGCAGTGGCACGATCTCAGCTCACTGCAACCTCCACCTCTGGAGTTCAAACGATTCTCCTGCCTCAGACTCCTGAGGAGCTGAGACTACAGGCGCGCACCAGCATGCCTGGCTAATTTTTGTATTTTTAGTAGAGACGAGGTTTTACCCTGTTAACCAGGCTGGTCTTGAACTTCTGACCTCAAGTGATCGTCCTGCCTTGGCATCCCAAAGTGCTGGGATTACATGCAACAAGTATTTATTCTGCACCAACTGTGTGTGCTGGCGGGCTGCTGCTGTCCTTTTTTTTTTTTTTTTTTTTTTCAACAGTGCCCTCTCCTGCTCCCTTCTGTGCACACTTTCTGTGGCCTCGTCCCCTGTACCTTCCCCGTTTTGCACAGGTCCATCCTTTCTTCTCCATTGTTCTGCCTGCCATCAGCCCAGGCACTCAGGGTGTTTGGCAGAGGACATCCACATGCCCCTTCTGCCTTCTCCTGAATCACTGAGGCTTTGTGCTCAGAAATAGAAAAAGCCTTCATATCTGCCCGGGGCCGGAAGGGCGCTGGGAGCTCCTGCCTCCCTCGTGTTTCCTGCTCATCCCATCTCCACTCCCTCCCTGATTCCGGCATCTTTGCCTCTGACCACACAAGGTCTGGACAAGTCACCCTTCTGCCAGCATTCTCTCGGCTCTGTTTACCCAGATGCCTCCTGCCATAGTGGTTGGCGTGACCCCTCACTCTGGGCTTTACTGTCCTGGGGGATGCTGCTGGCCATGCATTCAGTCTGTTTCCTTATTTATCTGTCTGTCCACAGAGAACTGGCTCTGCCCATGGAGGCTGCTGCTTTGTGTGACATCTCCGCCCACTGCTGAGGTGCCAAAAGGCCACTGATATCCAGCATCTGCCACCCTAATGGCTAAGAGTTGGGCAACAGGACCCAGGCTTGGTGTCTGGCCTCTGCACACTGGCAACATTCTGACTGCAACCACCCAATTGTGGGGGACGAGGTTGCCCAGTGGAGTGTTCCCTGTGCTTCCCAGGCTCCTAGAGACACCATGGCTGTGTTGCAAGGTCTAGGCTCTGTCCGTCAAAAGTCTTACACCCCTCAATGCAGGCCATGGAGTGGGGACAGTGAAGGGAGCTGGAGTTTGTCGACCACCTCCTTCACGCTGGACACACGACATGCATCTACCCATTCTGGTTACGTCGCCTCGCTAGGCCTCTCTTTTTGTCTTCTCTCTCTCTGTCTTTTTTTTTTTTTTTTTTCTCCAAGACAGAGTCTCACTCTGCCACCCAGGCTGGAGTGCAATGATGTGATCTCGGCTCACTGCAATGTCCACCCCCCGGGTTCAAGCGATTCTCCTGCCTCAGCCTCCCAAGTAGCTGGGACTACAGGCACCTGCCACCAGGCTCAGCTAATTTTTGTATTTTTAGTAGAGACCAGGTTTCCACATGTTGGCCAGGCTGGTCTCAAACTCCTGACCTCAAGTGATCTATCCGCCTCGGCCTTCCAAAGGGCTGGGATTACAGCTGTGAGTCACCACGCCCGTTTTATCTTCTCCAAAGTGGGGATGACAGTGATGCCTGCCTCACTGGGGTTTGGGGAGAGCTCACTGAGACCAGCTGCTTTTGAGCAGGCATCGAGTATCAGCCCATGCTGTTAAGAATCCTTAGGACATCCCCAGAGGGTGGGAATTATCTTCAATTCCCAGGATCAAAGAGGAGAAACCCTGTCTCACAGTGAGATCCGGGTTTGCCCCACCATGGGTTTTCAGAACCCCCTTGGACATGGGTTGTTGGAGAAATGAATGCATTCAGAGTCCCTGCGGCTGCTGTCTGGGGCAGGGGCCCCGTTTGGCTTGGAACCACGGTTCGGAGTTAGTGAGGCAGCCAGTAAAGAAGGGCAGACAGACCACGTGGTAAAGAGACTCGATTTCTCCCTCTTGTCCTGAAGCTCCCCCTTCTCCTCCAAGGGGACAAGCTGGACGCGGACTACATTGAGAGGTGCCTGGGCCATCTCACGCCCATGCAGGCGAGCTGCCTGATCCAGCTTCGGCTCTGGTTACAGGAGACCCACAAAGGCAAGGTAGGTACAGGGGTGTCCCCTGGAGCAGTGGATGAACGGGCAGTGACTGGTACTCAGCCTCGGTACGTGGGAAGGAAAGGCAAGATGAGGTGTGATGAAAAGGTGAGATGATAATGCTGACACATTATCTCTTGCTTTGTTATTAATTAATTTATTATTTTTGTGTGAGACACAGTCTTACCCTGTCACCCAGGCTGGAGTGCAATGGTGTGATCCTCACTGCAATCTCTGCCTTCTGGGTTCAAGTGATTTTCCTGTCTCAGTCTCCTGAGCAGCTGGGATTACAGGCATGCACCACCGTGCCTGGCGAATTTTTGCATTTTTAGTAGAGAGAGGGTTTTACCATGTTGACCAGGCTGGTCTTGAACTCCTGACGTCAGGTGATCCCTCAGCCTTGGCCTCCCAAAGTGCTGGGATTACAGGCATGATTCACCACACCTGGCCCTTGCTTTATTTTTTTACATATGGTCTCACGTCTCCATAACGCATGCTGTGCCTATCACAGAGAACAGAGTAGCTCATCCTTGGCACTTGGACATTTGGAGCTGGATGGTCCCTGATGGTGGGGGCTGCCTTGTGCATGGTGGGATGTTTAATTTCATCCTTGGCCTCCACCCACGAGATGCCAGCAGCTCCCTGCCCCCATGTAAGATGAGCAAAAATGACTCCTGATATTGCAAAATGTCCCCTGGGGGGCAGAGCCACCCCTGTGGAGAACTGCTGTTCTGTAGTCCCATGTGCATGAAACCATGTACACTTTTCCCCTCCCAGAGACGTAATGCCTTTGTGTGGGCAAGTTTGGATGGCTCATGGGTTTTGCCTTTAGACTCCATCTCCCGTAACGTGTACATAGGCAGTGTACGTAGAGACCAAGCATGGACTTTATGTTCAGCTCTGTTGAATAAGAACTTCTTTTAGGCCGGGCATGGAGGCTCACGCCTGTAATCCCAGCACTTTGGGAGGCCAAGGCGGGCAGATTACCTGAGGTCAGGAGTTCGAGACCAGCCTGACCAATATGGTGAAACCCCACCTCTAAAAATTACAAAGATTAGCTGGGCATGGTGATGTGCACCTGTAATCCCAGCTACTCTGGAGGCTGAGGCAAGAAAATTGCTTGAACCTGGGAGGCGGAAGTTGCAGTGAGCTGAGATCACACCATTGCACACCAGCCTAGGCAACAGGAGTGAAACTCCATCTCAAATTAAAAAAAAGACCTTTTTTTTTTGAGACAGAATCCCACTCTGTTGCCCAGGCTGGAGTGCAATGGTGCAATCATAATTTACTGTAGCCTCGACCTCCTGGGCTTAAGTGATCCTCCCACCTCAGCCTCCTGAGTAGCTGGGACTATAGGCATGCACCATCATGCCCAGCTAATTAATTTTTTTTTTTTTTTTTTTAGCAATGGGGTCTTACTATGTTGCCCAGGCTGGTTTTGAACTCCTAGGCTTGAGTGATACTTCTGCCTCAGCATCCCAAAGTGCTGGGATTACAGGGGTGAGAGACTGCACCCAGACAATAACTTTTTTTTTATTTTTAAGTTTTATTTTTTTGTATTTTAGTTTTTTTGAGATGGAGTTTTGCTCTTGTTGCCCAGGCTAGACTGCAATGGCACGATCTTGGCTCACTGCAAACTCTGCCTCCTGGGTTCAAGTGATTCTCCTGCCTCAGCCTCCTGAGTAGCTGGGATTACAGGTGTGTGCCATCACCCCCAGCTAATTTTGTATTTTTAGTAGAGATGAGGTTTCTCCATGTTGGTCAGGCTGGTTTCGAACTTCCAACCTCAGGTGATCCACCCGCCTCGACCTCCCAAAGTGTTGGGATTACAGGCGTAAGCCACTTAGCCCGGCCTCATTTTGTGCAATTTTTTGTATTTTGAGACAGTGTCTCACTCTGTCGCCCAGGCTGGAGTGAAGTGGTGTGATCTCGACTCACGGCATCCTCCAACTCCCAGTCTCAAGCGATCCTCCCACCTCAGCCTCCCAAGTAGCTAGGACTGCAGGCACGCACCGCCACACCGAGCTAATTTCTGTACTTTTTATAGAGATAGGGTCTCACCCTGTTTCTGATTCTGTAATTTTATCTGCCGGGTCAGGGAATACCATTCTGTGGGCTTTTTACTTCTTTGTCTCTCAGATTCCCAAAGACGAGCACATCCTTCGCTTCCTGCGGGCTCGTGACTTCCACCTGGACAAGGCCCGGGAAATGCTGTGCCAGTCCCTGAGCTGGCGGAAGCAGCACCAGGTGGATCTCCTCCTTCAGACCTGGCAACCCCCCGCCCTGCTGGAGGAGTTCTATGCTGGGGGCTGGCATTACCAGGACATCGGTGCGTGCCTCCACCCACATCATGTGTAGGGCACACTTTGGGCACTGCCAAATGCACTTTATTTATTATTTTGAGAGGAACTCCTACTCTGTTGCCCAGGCCAGAGGGCAGTGGTGCCATCTCAGCTCACTGTAATCTCCACTTCCCTGGTTCAAGCGATTCTCCTGCCTCAGCCTCCCCAGTAGCTAGGATTACAGGTACCCGCCACCACACCTGGCTAATATTTTTGTATTTTTAGTAGAGACAGGGTTTCATCATATTGACAAGGCTGGTTCCAGACTCCTGATCTCAAGTGACCTGCCTGCCTCAGCCTCCCAAAGTGCTGGGGTTGTAGGGGTGAGCCACCCGCCCAGCCCAAGTGCGCTGTAAACGGTAGGCTTCATGTTAACATCTTACTATTTTTCCTTTTGCCTTTTCCGAGCATCTAGAAATGCTCTGAAGTGACAGTCTAGCTAGGAAGAACCAGAGCTGGAAGGCTCTGGGGCTTGAGGAAGAGACATTTCTCCACTGGGTTAAGTGAGCCCACCATTACTTGTGATGGGATCATTGTGATTGTCTACGTAACAGGTGCATATATTTTATATGCATTTCCAGGGGCAGCCGTAGCAAATTACCACAAACTTGATGGCTTAAAACAGTTTAAATGTGTTTTCTCACAGTTCTCCAGGTCAGAAGTCTGGAGTCAAGGTGTCAGAAGGGCTTGCTCCCTCTCAAAGTTCTAGGGGAGTCGGGCCTGGCGGCTCACACCTATAATCCCAGCACTTTGGGAGTCCGAGGCAGGCAGATCACCTGAGGTGGGGTGTTCGAGACCAGTCTGACCAACATAGAGAAACCCCATGTCTACTAAAAATACAAAATTCGCCAGGCGTGGTGGCACATGCCTGTAATCCCAGCTTCTCGGGAGGCTGAGGCAGGAGAACTGCTTGAACCTGGGAGACAGAGGTTACGGTGTGCCTAGATCACTCCACTGCACTCCAGCCTGGGTGACAAAGCGAAACTCTGGCTCAAAAAAAAAAAAAATCCTTGCTTGCTATTTCCAGCTTCTGGTGGCCCCAGGTGTTTCTCGGCTGGTGGCAGCTTCACTCCAGTCTCTGCCTCTCTCTTCACATGGCCTTCCCCTCTGTGTCTGTGTGTCCTCGCCTCTTCAAATAAGGACCCCAGGTCACTGGCTTTAGGGCTCACCCCAAATTCAGTGTGATTTCATCTTGAGATCCCTAACTAATTACACCTGCACAGACTATTTCCAAGCAGAGTCACTTTTTTTTTTTTTTTTGAAGCGGAGTCTTGCTCTGTCACCCAGGCTGGAGTACATTGGTGTGATCTCAGCTCACTGCAACCTCCACCCTTCACATATTGAAACTCTGTCTCTACTAAAAATATAAAAATTTAGCGGAGCGTGGTGGCGCATGCCTGTAGTCCCAGCTACTGGGGAGGCTGAGGTGGGAGAATCGCTTGAACCTGGGAGGCGGAGGTTGCAGTGAGCTGAGATTGCTCCTCTGATATCCAGCCTGGGTGATACAGCGAGACTCTGTCTCAAAAACCAATCAACCAACAAACAAAAAACCCCACATAAAACAAGGCTATGCATTGATTGGTTGACAAAAAGTATTATGGGACTGGATACGGTAGTTCACGCCTTTAATCCTAGCACTTTGGGAGGCCGGGCAGCGGATCACCTGAGGTCAGGAGTTCGAGACCAGCCTGGTCAACATGGGGAAACCCCATCTTTACTAAAAAAAAAAAAAATACAAAAATTAAAAATTAGCCAGTATGCTGGTGCATACCTGTAATCCCAGCTACTCAGGAGGTTGAGGCAGGAGAATCGCTGGAACCGAGGAGGTGGAGGTTGCAGTGAGCC